CCAGCACATTACAAATGGGGGATGGCAAAAAAAATCCTGCTGTTCTCTAGTTTGAGCTGATGCCGTGAAACAGACCTCTGCTGTCTCCAGCTTCTGAGTGAGCTGTCTAATTTAACCCTTAGATCCACACAGTCAATATTCTTTGGTTCTGAACTATCAGATAATGAATAATGAAACGGTGTTTCTTAAAACCTGGATTGTGGCTGCTGAATAATAAGTGGTATTTTAATTTAATCTCAGTTTTTACACAAATGGACTTTTGGCCTTTTTATTTATTTATTTTTTATTTTTTTTTTTTTTTCCTGTTGGGAGGAAGTATGCCGTGTGATACACTTGAATTTTTGGAAGGTATGGAATTTGTTGAACGTATTAAGAGAATCTTTCTAGAACAGTAGAAGTGGATTTTTGGTATTTAGACTACAATTCTTAGCATAAGAATTGTCATCAGATGAATTTTCATATGGGCCATTGTTTTGTCATGATGGCCTATAGCAGGTATTTTAAAGGAAATTGCAAAAAAATTCCCAGTTGTGGAATAATTGCCATACTGTGGAGCTCTCCAGATTCCTGTCAGTTTACAAGGTTTTACAGTGCTAATCCTGAGTGTTCTGCCCATAGTATTTTTCTTGTTGATATGTAATTTTATATAGGTGGGGATTTTCATGAGTATTATAATGGAAATACGTAATCTTTGTAACAAACTTTACAGTGTTGTGTTTATAAGCTACCTTCCCACTGTCATGCTCAGCACTCTTCTGAACTGTTAAGAGTAGCTTAAAGCTCAGTAGTTACTTGAGCAGCACTGTTGATTATTTCTTATCTACTGAGCCTTAGATGTGCCAACAACAAAGTCCATTTCCCAGCATGCTGTCCGTTTACTTGCATTTTTTAACATCATTAATATTACGTGGTGTTGATGAACATGACTGTATTCTGGGTCCTGAAATTTTCCACTAGCACTGGTGGATGTGACCACTAGCTCCTGCATCCTATATGATGTGGTTATACACACTCTTTCCTCCAACCTTTTTTGATTCCTCCTGTCATTGTTCACAGCAAGGCAACATCTATATCTGGATAGAGATCTACCTATATTTTACTTATTGAAGCATGACATGTTGCAAAGTTGAAAAATGTTGAAATGCTTTCTGATTTTCCCCGATTCTCTTTCAAAATTATTTTCTTAAACTGTGATCAGTTTTTTCTATAATCTATGTTTTGACAGTATTCCCACTGACCTTCCAGATGCAAGTTTGACTTCTTTTGAAAGTAGAAAACATTTAAGCCTGGAACACTATGTTTCAGGCTTATTTTGTAATTGTTCTTTCATCAGCATGCTTGCTGCAATATAAGTATGAGTAAGAGGTTCCAGTGTCAACTTGATACTTTGATTTCTTGTACCTTCTTGACTAAACATTATTTAAAGTATTCATGATTAATGTCTAGTAGTTTTGTACAGCCTTTCATCTATAAATGAAAATAGCATTAATAATTTTCAGTGAGCTGGAAGTGACTTATTCAAGGCCATACAACAAGTCAAAGGGGAAGCTACAGTTAGAACCCAGATTTTATAATATCCCATCACAGCTAATACATGAATGTACTGTAAAATGTTTATTAAACCGCACAATTTAAATGAGTTTGTTAAATGAGAGAAATGAAAAGTATTTTCAGCAAGTTAAATAGTAGGCTATGTAGAAGGAATTTTGGAAGTAGAGTGAAAGAGTAAATATAAAGGGAATAGTACTAATGCTTACGGGACAAATACAAGTAAACATTCAGTATGCTTAATGTAAATCTGATAGGTTATTTGATAATTGTGCTGGAGAAGATTTTTGGGTTCTTAATTTCTTTAGCGAGAAGACTAGCTCTCAGCTGATACTCATGCTAGTTTTGTATGTCCTGCTTCCTATAAACATTATACTTTCAGGATGGTGGCTTGGACACCTGCAGCATATACAGCCTGCTATTTTTATTTAAATACATATAAAAAAAAAAGTGTGTGAGCCTTGCTTGTTTTTCAGTTATTCATGAGTCAATACCATAGGTTTTCCTCCTTTAGGCCTGACTCATTTTTAATTTACATCATTTACACGTATGCCTATGGTGCAAATAAATATACACAGTTTGGGGAAAAGTTAATAAATCAAATAGATTAACTGAGCAATTCTTTATATATATGTATGTATATTTTTTCATAGACTGAAAACTAAATCTGGTGCTACTTGTGATATTATCTTCTGATGTTCTTTATAACCCTTAATCTTTATGTACAGTGCATAAGTAGTCTAGGCTAACAACCCTAAGATTTCACCTCCTTTGGTTTCCATTTTTGGTTCACATTTATACGTAAAGCATGTACTGGTTCTGCCCTGCTATTGCTTCATGAAAATACGTAGTAAATAATACTGAAAAGATTCTTTTAAGTGTTCAGAAACCTGGATTCCTGTAAATCTAAATTTTGTGGCTGATTGAGAGAAGATGATGTTGGATGAGCTCAGGAAGAATCACAGAATAGTTTGGGTTGGAAAGGATCTGAAGGTCATCTAGTTCCAACCCCCACTGCCATGGGCAGGGACACCTCCCACTGAACCATGTCACCCAAGGCTCTGTCCAACTTGGCCTTGAACAGCGCCAGGGATGGAGCATTCACAACTTCCCTGGGCAGCCCATTCCAATGCCTCACCACCCTTACAGTAAAGAATTTCTTCCTTATATCCAATCTAGACTTCCCCTATTTAAATTTTAACCCGTTAGCCCTTGTCCTGTCACTACAGTCCCTAATGAATAGTCCCTCCCCAGCATCCCTATAGCCCCTGTTCAGATACTGGAAGGCTACTATGAGGTCTCCATGCAGCCTTCTCTTCTCCAGACTGAACAGCCCCAACTTTCTCAGCTTATCAAAAGTAGAGGAAAATGCAACAGAAGTTTCCAACTTCCTGTAACCAGAGGAAACTCATATCCCAGTTAGTATAAAGGTTTCTTCCAAACACATCAGTCATATGTGTTCGTTGACACAGAAAACTTAAAGTATTCAATCAAAAGTCAGTGTCTTGAAAACCTGGGAAAGGAAAATACCAAACACCCCCAAATCCCCAACAACACCTTAGCATTTTAGATTAGTGTTGCATTACAGTTAGGACTGGTTGATTTTTTTTCTTTTCAGTTGTGCTTTTCAAAGAAGGCAACCAATTAAAAGACGTGAGAACATTTTAGGAATGAAGATGAACTTCACCGTTTAATCTGTGAATTTGCTTCACAATTTTCTGCAGAAGTACTTAATGTCGGTGTGAAATGCCCTGTGAAATTTTAAGTTGGTACTTTGTGTCTTACTTTAAATAAGTTCATTTTGGGCAATTCTCCTTACAAATTGAAAATTCATTCCCATATAGCATTTCTGAAAAAATACTGTATGGCAGTACGAATATATTACACTTGGAACTTCAGTGTCCCTTTTTCACAAAGTTCCCTTCTGTGGTCAGGGTGGCTTTCAGCTACTAGAAAGCTGCTTTGGTTTTTGGATTTGTGCATATTATACTGCCCATGACTCTTGGTTTGAAGATTGCTTGATTCAGGTGCAAGATGACAATCAAGGCTTGACTGAAGTCAGGGAATTGGAAAAAGCTTTAAGGGATAGATGGAATGAGATATGCACAGGGAGAATGTACCTTCTCCATCTGATTATTAGCTGCTTGTGGCCCCTTTCATACTAAAATTTTTCAGAACTGTGTATGGATCCAAGCAGTTTGCTGATTGCTTTTGGTTCTAACATTTGATCAGTGAAGCTGTTTGTTGATTTGACACACTTTCAAAATAAAATGTTGAATTTGGGCTTGCAGAGATAGAGAAGCTACCCAGTCTTTTGTCCTTTGTGAGTTTTGTATTGAGCCTTGAGTATATTCTTAGGGTGAAGTGAGAGGAATTCTCTACCTGGTAAGAAATAAAAACATATACTGGACAGATACAGGTTAATATTAATCTTTAGTAACCGTATTTGATGATGATGTCAGGCATACATTTGGGGCATTTATACTGCTGTTACCCGTAAGTGCAGAATCCATTTGTTGCTTCTCAGTGGGGGGGGAGCAAAGGGCAGTAGCAGCTGCTATCACTAAACATAGCTCCATTTTGACATTGTGCACGACTGGGATGGATTGTGGTACACTTATGGAATGAACAAGTGACACTATCAGCTGTTGCAAATCCAGCTGAGATGCTGTTTTATTTTTCACTCCTGTGTGCTCTATAGCTTCAGTGATTGGAGAAAGTCCTAATGTGTTTTCAGGATGTTATACCTTTTTTGTTCTGGTATTTAAAGATTTTAGATAAGCTAACAAAGTTCTTGGTACTAGAAGAAAAATATGTAGTTCTATCTGTAAGTCAGTATTCAGAACTGACATATGCCAGGAATTAGAGCATGCTGTTGCTATTTCATAGCTGTTGAGTGAGACTAGATTTTTACATTAATTTACAGTAATAGTGTATGATCAGTCATGGTTATAATTTCCACTGTGAATAATTTTATCTGAGAAGAGGGCAAATGTGGGTTGGGTGAACATCATTTTACTCCTTGTAACAGCTTAACCAGATAGGGATAAAAGTGTCTTGATAGACTTATGCTATAATTTTTGTAGGTTGACTGGAGTGCTTCATTTTCTAGAGCTGCTGTTATTTATTATTTAGCCCATAAGCATGTTAGACACCTCTTAATACAGGCAGTGAATCTTGTGACAGTGTTTCAAGGGACTCAGGGTAATCTCCCCTTTTCTCAAAACCTTCAGACTCACTATCTCCTTCCAAAAGTAATGGGTCAATCTAGTTCAAACTGTATGATCTTGAGAAAGAAGAATGGCCAGATAGGAAGTGGGTGTCTAGGGCTTGAACCAGTGGTTTTAAGAGGAAAACCTTCAGTGTAAAGCTTATTGACAGTCATTGAGTAGCCTTTTTGGTTTTGTTATTGTTTTGGTTTTTTTTAACCACTGAGAGTTTCTTTTAGATCCCTCTTAACGGCTTCTCTGCAGTCTTACTCTGCCCTGATGCTTGCAGCCCTGAACTTTCCTTGGCTGAAAGAACGTAGCCTACTTCTAAGATTCCAACATCCAGAAAGACAGAGTAAAATCAAGCCCAATAAAACAGGTGGTGTGTCTTGGTCCCTTGCTGGCCATTATTCCTTTTTGTTTTGTTTGTTTATTTTTTTTTGCAATGTATGTCTCAACATATTGTTTGCCTGATTTTTGTACATGACAAGCTCTGCTTCTGTGTTTTCAAGCCATGAGTGGGTCCAGCTGCAACAGAAATAATTGTAAGGTAGTTTTGTGGGTTAACCACAGTAGGCAGCTCAGCACCACATAACCACTCACTAAAGAAATGTGGGCAAGGAAGAACAAAAACACTATCAGTAAAGATACAGTTTTACATATTAAAGCATATTGTATTGGTTAACTGCACTTTTGGGAGTAATGGAAGACAGACTTACAAGGGTGTTTACTAAGGTTGTCTTTGATTACTCTAAAATGGTGTGCAATGATAAAGGTGCAAATAGAATAATGTAAAATTGCTGATGAGAGTCTTGATTACCAAAGACAGCTGTCTTTACAGTTATTGAAGACTTTGGCAACCAGTGGGATATGCATTTTAGAGTTTGCACACTGCAGATTGATTGGGAGGTGAATTGGATTGTATGGTTAAGTGTGGAAAATGAGAATTTTAGATATATAGGCAGGTTGAGTCTTACGTGTACAGGTCTTACTAAAACAAGAACAGCAAAGTTTCAGATAAGATCTGAAGATAATGAAAGATAAAGAGGAGCTGATGAAGACTGCCTCCTCATTTTGAACCTGAGTGGTGAAAACAGTGTCAAAGGTGTACTTGATACCAAGAGAAAATGTGGCTGAGGATTTCTCATTCTTCTCAAACACTCAGTTTGCTTTAGGAAGAAAGGTAACTGTAGTTGTACATTACATTAAGCTGACACTCTTTCTGCTGTGCATGGTATGCTATCTGTACTTTCTCCTCTATAAAAAAAAAAAAGACTCAAGTTGCCAGCAAGTCTCTAGATTGCTAATATTGTGTTTCAGCTGATGTTTCTTCCTCACACTGACCAGACAACTTATAAAATTATTATTCAGGTTAACGTCAGAGTAATTGAAGGTTGGGTAGCAGTTTCATTTTTTCAACATGAGAGAATTTATCTTTCAAAGTCCTGAGTTACAGTTTGCAATGATTTCATCATTGAAAAGTATCCTGAACTGACAGCAATAAATTAACTGCCATTTCACTTGAGACTAATTCCTGTCTACAGTGAAGAATTTTGCTTGGTGAAATGTTATGGCCATGCCAATTTTATTCTTGTTCATTTTGCTTAGTTTTGAAGGAGCTGAAACAAGTGTCTGTTCCAGAGTTCTGTTGTAGCAGATAGTAATGGGTTTGTCATGATTCATTGCTGTGTCTGTTTATAGCACCCACTGGATACTGTGGCTTTCCATGTAGTCCCTTCCAATATGCCAAACTCTTCCCTGTAACTTGAGGTACATTTCTGTACTTTCACTATCTTTGCAGAATGTTTTAAAGTATTTTTACTTCCATTTGACATTTGCCTTTTCTGAGGCTGCAGCTATGTTTTACTCTCAGTTCCTCTCAAGCAAAGTCTGTGACACCATTATGATATACTGACTTGAAGACACAGGTAAAGGGTTATGGATAGTGAAATAAAGTTGAAGTGTAAGCAGTCTTTCTAATTGCATGTACATGTAAGCAAATTAAAAACATTAAACTAACATCTTTCACCTTGCACAGGTGAAAGAGGGGGAAAGCTTGCTCTTCTGCAGCAGACGTTTGCTTTGATACCTTCCTCTACCATCCAGCCTTTTCAGTGTTTCTGAAGTAGACTGTCTTAGAGCCAGAGCTCGAGGTTTAACACCCTGTTATGGTCTCTGTCACCTATGACAGTTGATCACAGGTCATCTGACTGCATTGGACCTTGCTGGCCATTCCTTCATCAATTCCTTGCCCATTGATGTTACAGTAGTTACAAGTTACAATAGTTCTTGAAAGACTAGTTATTAATACTGTGATGAAAGAAAGAAAGAAAGAAAGAAACAAAACAACAGAAGAACCCCTCAAAACAAGCAAATAGAATCCCAAACTCCCTCTGTCCTCAAACGTGATCTCTACTGACAATTTCTTTGTGAGCTCTTGTTGTGGTTTAAGCCCAGCCAGTAATTCAGAACCACACAGCTGCTCTCTCACTTCCCCCCCTTCCTCTCCCTGCTCCCAGAGGGATGGTGAGGAAAATCGAAAGAATTTAACTCCCACAGGTTGAGATAAGAACAGTCCAGTAACTAAGGTATAACACAAACCACTGCTGCTACCACAAATAATAATAATGATAAGGGAGATAACAAGGGAAGAGAATACAACCGCTCACCACCCACTGACCAATACCCAGCCCAACCCAAGCAGTGATCTAGCCCTTCTGGGTAACTACCCCCAGTTTATATAGTGGGCATGACGTGCTGTGGTATGGAATACCCCTTTGGCTAGTTTGGGTCAGGTGTCCTGTCTCTGCTTCCTCCCGGCTTCCCCTCCTCCCTGGCAGAGCATGAGACTCAGAAAGTCCTTGGTCAGAGTAAACATTACTGAGCAGCAACTAAAAACATAGGTGTTATCAGCGTTGTTCTCAGGCTGAGAGTCAAAACCACAGCATTGCACCAGCTACTTAGAAGGAGAAAAATGGCTGCTACTGCTGAACTCAGGACAGTATCCACCCCTTATTCCATACCATTCACGTCATGCTCAGATCCCACATTTTCAATATACCATCACTCATATACATATATATGTATATATATATATACACATCTACACACACACACACACACGGATCATTCCTTAGTGTGTGGACCAATCCCTATAAAGCTGCTGAGTCCATCTGGTCCATGATGTCAGTCTCCATCTCTTGTAACAGTCTTTCAGAGCAGGAGAGGCTGTGTGCACTGTTGGATTGTTGCCCGCTGTGGTACCGCAGAACTTGTCTGGTTCCTTCAAAGTTCATTCTTTGTTTGGATGACGGTCGGAGGGAAGTCAGGTCTGGTTGCTGGTGACCTGAAGACATCTAGTTGGTGGGCTATAAAAGTGCTACATAGCAGGCAACAGCATACAGTTGAGTTCATTGGCTGTTTTCCCCTAAAATCAAATGCCCTTGAGGTACACATCAGACTTCCCATCTTCCCACATTATCCACCAGGTATATCCTGGTCCCTGGGCAAAAGCAGTCCCATGACTGGGGATTCTGACTGGGCTGGGCCAGCCCTGTTGACACATCCTCTGGTGTTGACTAACCAGGTGGCTTTTGGTAAATATATATCCCAGTGTTTGAAAGTTCCACCACCCATTGCTCTCAGTGTAGTTTTTAACAGCCCGTTTGTCCTGGGTTCAGCAGTAGCAGTTATTTTTCTCCTTCTAAGTAGCTGGTCCAGTGCTGTGATTTTGACTCTCGGCCTGAGAACAACGCTGATAACACTGATATTTTTAGTTGCTGCTCAGTAATGTTTACTCTGACCAAGGACTTTCTGAGTCTCGTGCTCTGCCAGGGAGGAGGGGAAGCCGGGAGGAAGCAGAGACAGGACACCTGACCCAAACTACCCAGAGAGGTATTCCATACCACAGCACATCATGCCCAGGATGTAAAGTGGCAGTTACTGGGAAGGGTGAGATCACTGCTGGGTTGGGCTGGGTATTATCGGTCGGCGGGTGGTGAGCACTTGTATTCTCTTCCCTTCTTATTTCCTTTATCATTATTATTATTGGTGGTAGCAGTAGTGATTTGTGTTATACCTTAGTTACTGGACTGTTCTTATCTCAACCTGTGGGAGTTACAGTCTTTCGATTCTTCTCCCCATTCCTCTGGGAGTGGGGGGAACAAAGGTGGGGGGGCAGTGGACTGTATGGCTGACTTGCCAACAGGGTTTAAACCACGACACCATTGTAGTGTTCGATTTTCACCTTGGCAAACTGACTCAATTCACCCTCTCCTTCAGCAGTTTTTGCAACTTGTCATCGGGGACTCCATACAGCTGCCTTCCATCTCCACTGCTTTCCCACAGTACGGCAGGACCCATCAGTGAACAAGGCATATTGCTTCTCACTTTCTGACAGTTTATTATATGGTGGGGCCTCTTCAGCATGCATCACCTCCTCCTCTGGTGACATTCCAAAATCTTTGCCCTCTGGCCAGTCCATGATGACTTCTAGAATTCCTGGACGACTGGGATTTCCTATTCGAGCTCATTGTATAATTAGTGCAGCCCACTTACTCCATGTAGCATCGGTTGCATGATGCGTAGAGGAGATCCTGCCTTTGAACATCCAGCCCAGCATGGGCAACCGGGGTGCCAGGAGGAGCTGTGCTTCAGCGCCAATCACTTCTGAAGCAGCTCAAACCCCTACATGGGCTGCCAGTATCTCTTTCTCAGTTGGGGTATAGCTAGACTCAGATCCTTTATATCCCAAACTCCAAAAGCCAAGGGGTTGACCTCAAGTCTTCCCTGGAGCTTTCTGCCAGAGGTTCCAGGTAGGACCATTCTCCCCGGCTGCGGTGTAGAGTGTGTTTTTTACATCTGGCCCAATCCAGACTGGTCCAAGGGCTACTGCATGAACTGTCTCACATTTAATTTGCTCAAAGGCTTGTTCTTGCTCAGAGCCCAATTTAAAATCATTCTTCTTCCGAATCACATGGTAGAGAGGGCTTACAATCAAACTGTAATTTGGGATGTGCATTCTCCAGAACCCCACTGCACCCAAGAAAGCTTGCGTTTCTTTCTTATTAGCTGGTGGAGACATTGCTGTTATCTTGTTGATCACATCTGTGGGGATCTTGCTATGTTCATCTTGCCATTTTATTCCCGAAAATTGAATCTCCTGTGCAGGTCACAGTATCACACAGTATCACAGTATGCTAGAGATTGGAAGGGACCTCAAAAGATCTAGTCCAATCCCCCTGCCAGAGCAGGAACACCTAGATAATGTTACACAGGAATGTGTCCAGGCGGGTTTTGAATGTCTCCAGGGAAGGAGACTCCACAACCTCCCTGGGCAGCCTGTTCCAGTGTTCTGTCACTCTCGCTGAGAAGAAATTTCTT